TCCATTCTCCTCTCGGGATCTTGGGCACGCACGCACACGTGCCCGGCGTGAGTTTTAAGCCACTGGGTCCGGGACGCGAACCGCAGTCGACTATGTGGGAGTCCAGTGACATAGCCATTATGCTAACTGCTGGTTCCCGCTGGGGCTTATTTTGAAGGGCTGTGACTGTTCCTGCCTTCATGAGAGAGCGGGAGGGGAGAGGGACAGACAGACAGATGGCACTTTGAGCACTGTCGCTGTGCTGCGGTCCTCGGGTCCCGCTCCCAGGGAGGACCCCAGGCACATGCAGCCATAGCTGGCAGGGTCAGGAGCCGGACCTTGGCCATCCAGGCCAGCCTGCTGCCTGTGGCCCACCACGACTGGGTCTCCTGTGCTTTTTCCCCTAAGGGTTGGCTGGAAACGTTAAAAAATTAAAGTCTCAGATGAGGTCTGGAGCTGTGGCTGGGATTGCCGCTGACCCGCCTCACATCTCAACAGAAGCGTGGTTCTCCTGTGGAGGAAAGGGATACCTTTGGCTAAATGAATGGGCCCAGCCCCTGGGGGCACGGCTGCCAGGCACAGCTGGTGTTCAGGGCTCCGAGCCATACCATTGTGCACCTGCCTTTGCCAGGACGCCCAAATAGGGCACCCCAAAGACACGGTCATTGTGCGGAGGTGGCTACGGACACCAGGCGGACACCTCTCCTGGAGAGATGTTTGCTCGCCTGGAAATGCTGGACTTCACTCGGGGCCCGCCAGGCCCCAAGTCAGTGTCCTGGGGAGTGTGACTGGTTCGAATCCCCCTCCCTGCTGCATATTTCTGGAAGATGCGAACTGAATGAAGCTCCCACGGTGGCATTTTGGGAAGTGTAATGGGCGGCTGTGAAGAAGCTATTTCTGGGCTGAAGCGAGGAGTGGTGGGTAGGAGGACGGGGACAGAAAGCTCTGTCACTGCCACCATCGAAGCCTCGGGTGTCCGCCCACTCCGCTACCCTCTCCGGTCTGAAGGGCCAGTTCTGAGCCGCAGCTTCCCGGCCCTCCCTCTCCACCCACCGCCCGGCTTCCTGCCTCCCGGTCAGCGCCTCGCCCCTGCCCGTAGACAGCTGCCTCGTGTGTCTGTGGGACCGCACTGAGAGATGGCGACGGCACAAAGGGGGCAGTGGTGCCTGGCGCTCACTGGGCACGAGGCTGAAGTCAGGCCGGCGCTGCCTCGTGACCTTCCCGGCGGTGCCAGCGTCCTTTCTGGCCGGCAGCTGCTCAGTCACAAGGTATTCCTGGAACCTCTCTGGGCACTGTGTGGACTGGCAGCAGGAGTTTCTGGTCCCCTTGTCAGGCTCAGCCCAGAAAAGTGCAGTCTGGAGTCTCCCACACCGTGGTATATTTGAGAGATAAGGGACACGGGCAGCGAGCCCACAGTGCGTGTGTGTGTGTGTGTGTGTGTTTGGGGGGTAGACAGCAGAAGCGGGGCAGGGCCAAAGGCATGGGGTTGAATGTCGACTTCCCACCTCCCGGCAGAACGACCTCAGTGAAGTCAGTGGGCGTCTCTGGGCCTCAGTTTCCTCATTTAAAAAATGGGGATCGTTGGCCTCGCTCTGGTTTCCCACAGGGTGGAAGATACTCTGAGCCGGCAAAGCCCCTTCAGCGCCCTTGGGGGGGACTGCTCAGTTTTGGGGGACATGGGGTGAGGCACGAGGCGGAGCTGACAGCAGCTCGGTGCTGTTCTAGGCAGACAGTGTGGCTAGTGCTCCCCAGAAGTCGGGGCGCAAGAGGCAGGGCAGACAGAACCACGTGGTGTAAGAGTGAGGGACAGAAAGGGAGGCATCGGAAGGCCTGCCACCCTCCAGCCCAGCCTTGGGGCTCACAGGCCATAGAGATGCAGCTCTTGGCCGGCAGTCGAGGTGGACAAAGGCCACCAGTGTCCTGCCCATGCCGGTCAAAAGCCTTTTGTGTCAGTCTGCTTTCCCAATTAGCCCTTCGGCCACGACTGCTGGGGGACGGGCCACCTGCACCTCGCGGGTGGGACGGTCTGGTCTCTCTCTGTCTGTCTCTCTCTCTGTCTCTCTTCTGTCTCTTTCTCTCTTTTGGGCTCCCAGATTCCAGATGCTTCCCCTGCCAGGCTCAGGCTTCAGCTGAAGGCAGAAAGGCATTGAAGGGAACCAGCAGTTAGCGTAATGGCTATGTCACTGGACTCCCACGTGGTCGACCGCGGTTCGTGTCCCGGACCCAGTGGCTTAAAACTCACGCCGGGCGCATGTGCGTGCATGCCCAAGATCCCGAGAGGAGAATGGAAGAGAAGGGATTGTGGCGTGACCATCCCCCCTGGGGGGTGATTTCTCGCTTTCTGTCTCTATGTCTCTCTCTGTCTGTCTGGCGAGCGCACGCGCCCTACAGTGAAAATCTCTCCAAAAAAAAAAAAAGAAAGGCATTGAAGACGGAGCCCCAGGGCGTTCTGGAATCACCTGGAAGAGAAGGGCAATGGAGCCTGTTGAGGTGTGCTAGAGCAACTACTGGCGAGCCTGGCTGGCCAACTCTGACAACTCTCCCTAGAGTTTCCCTGGTATGAGGCTGGCAAAAGTGAGCCCTTAATGATCTGTTTAGCAATAGAGGACCGAAGTAGGAAATTAGTCAGGAAAAGCCAGCTTGGGAAGGAGTTCTTAAGAGCTACATATGACTGTGGGTGCGCGAGGCTCTGTAAATATAGCATGCTCAAAGTGGAAAGGTTTGATTTTTTTTTTTTTAATTGCCAGCGCATGTGTATGCTCACCAGTTAGGGAGAGAGTGATGAAGAGAGAAAGGGAAAAGCAGCCCCAGCGGGGCCTGGTCACACCACAACCGCTCCTCCTCCGTTCCTCCATCCATCAGGGTTTCGAGCATGCATGCACACGCCCAGTGTACGCCAAGCCTCAGGGCTGGGATTCGAACCGCGATCGGCCATGTGGGATCCAGCTCCCTTAAATCCTGAGGCTATGGGCCTGGCCCAGGAAGGTCTGATTCTCAAAGACCTGGGCACTAATGGCTGAAGGATGCAGAGTGCTGGTCTCCTGGTCTCCCCACTCCCGACTCTGTGGGCCCAGAATTTCTAGCAACGTCCCCAGGGCTAACACCAAAAGCTGCACCTGTCAAAGCCCAGAAGATCAAGTTTGCTCATTGTCACATACAAACGGGGCTGGCAGGTGGGACTGAGCTTAAGCAAAGCCAATCTTATTTCTTACCAAGCACCAGTCAAGAGGATAAGCGTTTTCCTGGAGCTCAGAATCACAGAGTCATGGGGAACCAGCAGTTAGCGTAATGGCTATGTCACTGGCCTCCCATGTAGTCGACTGCGGTTCAAATCCTGGACCCAGAGGCTTAAAACTCACGCCAGGTGCGTGTGCGTGCGTGCCCAAGATCCCGCGAGGAGAATGGAGGAGAAAGGATTGCGGCATGGCCATCCCCCCTGGGGGGTGATTTCTTGCTTTCTGTCTGTCTCTCTCTGTCTGGTGAGCACACGCGCCCTATAGCGAAAAAACCTCTCCAAAAAAAAAAAAAAAGAATCACACAGAGTCAAGACCAAGGGCTCCCTCACCCCTAAATGGGGATACGGGGGACACTGTTATTTCTGTCTGCCTATTCTGTCTGCCTAGCTCTGGGAAGTCACCCCATTTGAACCCACATGAACTAGACAGAGTTTAAACCACTTCCTGCTTCAGGAGTGAGAATAGGACACAGCCCTGGACAGCGGATACGCTGGCCTGAGATTGGTTTAGGGATGGTCATGTGGCTCAGTCCAAGCCAATGAGACACGATTCTGTGACTTTTGTGGAACTGCTGGGAACAGAGGATCCGAACCGGAGTACTAGGCAGAAGAGAAAGCCAGCTGAGGGCTGCCACCACTTGCCACACAGAGTCTGTGGAGGATCCCCGAGAACAGAGCCCGCAGAGAGGAAAACCAGGTCGGGCAGAGGAAACAGGCCTGCATCCAGCTGAGCCCCAAGCTGCAGTACCTTGGAATTTGGGGTTACTTAAGGCAAATTCTGCAAGTTACTCTGAGTTGGCACCTCCCCTCAGAGCATGTTGGTGCCGCTGATTCAATGAGATACCAGGAGGGACAGACCCGGCACACAGTCGGTTCTCAGTAGATACTAGCTAAGTGGAAACCAAGGGTCTGCTTTGCCATAGGGTAGTCTGCTCACCGGAAAACAAAGAGAGACAGTGAGAGGGAAAGCGAGAAGTCACCCCCCTTCCCCGGGGAGATGGCCACACCGCAATCCCTTCTTGGGATTCTGGGCTCGCGTGCGTGTGTGCCTGCTGTGAGTTTCAAGTCACCAGATCTGGGCCTCAAACCATGGTCTGCCACGTGGGAATCCAACACCCTAACCACCACACCACTTGCTGGCCCCTCGACCAGAAGTTTTAACCTTTATCTGAAGCCCCGAAGCTGGATGCCAGTTTTGCATGATTTCAGTGGACCCCCAAAGGTATGTGTCATGCCAAGAGCTACTGAACAATGTGGCTCAAAGTCTCAGTGACGGCAGGGACAGGGTCACTCTCTTCGGCGTGTCCCCCACAGCGACCGTTACGCACTGATGGAACCTCATGGAGGGACTGTGGGCTCAGGGGACGGTCATTACAGATGGGTGGACCCGGGGCCATCCCACATCTCAGAGCTGCCCTTCAGATGCAGAACCCCTCCCCTTACCCCTAGCCCTACTCACTGTCCTCGGAGGCCCAGAGACCCAGAGACACACCCTACCCACCCGACACACTCAAGCCAGCTCCTGGGTGTCAGCCACAGACCCCAGCCCTTGCCCTCCCCGCTCAGACCACCCGAACCCCTCTGCCTCGAGATCCCAGGGGCTCAGCATTCAGAAGGAGCGATACCTCCCGCCAGGGCCAGGCCCAACACGCTCTGGGCTAAGCATGTCTCAGCAGGGTGTGGTTAGTGACAGCCTGGCCAGGGAGCAGTGGCCAGGAGGTCAGAGGCCGCGTGAACCGGGGAGCTGAGCGTGGAGCAGCCCCACACCTGGACGTGCGTCACTTACAGTCGCTTGATCCCAGACTCGGGCTGGGGGGCCGTTCTCGGGTGCACAACGGGTGGAGGCTGGAGTATTCGGTTTTCCTCTTCCATTTCATCACTGGAAGGAGACAGGAGGCATGAGATAAGGGAGAAATCCCAGGATAGCTGGCGCATGGCGGGAGAGTACCGTCTGACGGTCGGAGAGGGCGCACTTTTCTGGGGAAGTGAGACTGAGGGGAGCCACACCTCTATTTGCAGTTTCTTCCTTTTTTAAACAAAAAAAATTATTTAATTATATTTATTCGCTCATTTATTTTAATTTGACCAGAGAAAGACAGACACACAGAGAGAAGGAAAGTGAGAAACCAAGCCACCAGGTCCGGGACTTGAACCATGGTTAGCCATGTGGGAATACCCAGCACTTTAATAACCATGCCACCTGCTGGCCCTATTTCCTGTTTACTCTGACAAGTCCAGCCACACAGAACTGCCCCCGTTTCCTGTCCTTACAGAAGTCCCCTTGCCTCTGTTTACCCTGACAAGTTCAGCCACACAGAACTGCCCCCGTCTCCTGTCCTTACAGAAGTCTCCTCGCCTCTAGGCCTTTGTGATTTTTCTCCACCTGGCACATGTCACCCACCCACCATTACCCATATCCTTCCTGGAAGGCCTTTTCTGTGGCACTTCCTTCAGGAAGCCTTCCTGATTTCCACCCATCTCCAAGCCAGAATGCTCTCTCTCCCATCTTTTTTTTTTTTTTTAATTTTTATTTATTTGATGGTGTTTGTTATCATTATTTTTTAATTTGACCAGAGAGAGAGAAAGGGAAAGTGAGGGAGCAAGCTGCCAGATCTGTAGCTCAAACAGTGCTCAGCCATGTGGGAGCCCAGCGCCTTAAGCCCCATGCCCCCTGCCAGCCCCTCTCTCCCATCTTTGAACATCTGGTTCTCAGTCAGCAAACCTTTCTTTCTTTTTTTTTGAGAGATATTTTTGCTATATTGCACATGTGCTCGCTGGAGAGACAGAGACAGAAAGTGAGAAATCCCTTCTCCTCCATTCCCCTCTCGGGATCCTGGGGACACACACAAACACACACACACACACACACACACGCACACAGTGTGAGTTTTAAGCTGGCAGGTCCAGGACTTGAACCGCTGTCAACTACGTGGGAGTCCAGCGACGTAACCATTGTGCCATCTGCTGGTCCCCAGTGAATCTTTCTTACCTGCCAGGTAACAGTGACTTTTCTCTTTCTCTCTTCAATTTTCCAGAGGGCGCAGTGCACCCATAGGAGACAGAGAGGGAAAGTGAGAATGCACCCACAGGACAGTCATGCCAATTCCTTCTCCATCCCGCCCTCCTTCTGGGACTCTGGGCACGCACACACACACACACGACCAGCTTTTATTTCAAGCCAACGGGTCTGGGACTCAAACTGCATAGTCAGCCATGTGGGATCCAGCGCCTAAACCACCAGCCACCAGCTGGGTAAGGTCATGGTAGACATAACCCAGTTCGTTCTAATAGTTGAGAAGTTCCACATTACAAAATGCATCTGGGGGCCTGGGCCAGCTGACAGCATGCTGGTTAAGGTGGCTGGATCCCACATGGCCGATGGCTCAGTTTGAATCCTGGACCCCGTGACATGAAAGACTTGCTGGGCACATGTGCCTGTGTGCCCAAAACCGCAAGAGGAGAATGGAGAAGGGATTGTGGAATGGCCACTCCTCGCTTTTGCTTTCTGTCTCTTTCCAGTGAGCACATGTGCCCTATACCAAATTCTAAAAATAAATAAGTAAATAAAACAAAAAAAATTTTTTGAGAGGTTTTTGCTATAGGTTGAGGCGCTGGACTCCCACAGAGTTGACCACGGTTCAAGTCCTGGACCCGGTGGCTTGCTTTCGTACTTTACCTCTGTCTCTCTCTCTCTGATCAAAGTGAAAAATGACAGTAATAAATAAAACCAAATAATTCTTTAGAAACAACACAAGACAAAACAACGCATCTGGGCCCGCATTTCACCAGAGGACTGTCCACTCCTATCCAAGTGCTTTAGGTCAGGGAGGGTGCCGGACAAGGACCCGGACGCCTGCCTCACACAAACTGGACCAGCTCAGGCCGGCCCGCGGGGTCCGCACCTCTTGTAGTAGGCCAGCTCCTCCTGCAGCAGGAACACCCTGGCCTTGAGCTCGTTCCTCTCCTGCAGCACGTCCCGCAGCTCCTGCAGTGTGAACCGGGGGCGGTTGGGGTCCTTGAGGTCCATGGCTGCCTTCTCAGCATCTGAGATGCACTCCTCTCCGCCGGGTTCCACCTGGAGGAGGAGGTGTCACTAATGAACTGGCGGCCACCACGGCACCCGCCCTGAGCTGAAGAGCCCGCGTTTTCCACCTCCAGCGAGCAGCTTTGAGGGCGCTATTTTCAGCACCCGTGGGTGGGCACCCTCTTCGC